GGATGCCTCGTATGAAGAGAGACCGGTGAGAGTCTTGAATACTTGGGATAAATTTTTGCGAGGCAAGACAATTCCGTTGGTTAAAGTATTGTGGAAACATGACGGAGTTGAGGAAGCAACATGGGAACATGAATTGGAAGTCTGAGAGAAATATCCAGACTTATTTGTTGATGTGTAATTTTATATTGACATTTCCATTATGTAAATAAAATGTAAAGACATTGTATATGTTATGGACATTTTGGGAACATGGATTCAATATGAGTAATGTATATGCTTTGAGAATATGGAATATTGTGGGTGTTGTACCACTTTTGGAAGCATTATATATATTATGAAAATTTTGAAAACTTGGATTTTAATCAAACATTGTAAATGTTTTGAGAAATTGTACATTTCATTTTAATATGGGACTTATGTATCGTGTCGATAAGAATGCATGACCGGAGAATAGGTCATGGTATTGAACTTGTGAGAATAAAATTGTTATGAATAGTCTAGTGTTGGTTTTGAACTTGATTTGTAATTTCGGGGACGAAATTCCTTAAGGGGGGGAGGTTATAGTGACTACAGTTTTAACCCGTCATTTGTTGTATTCCAGACTCGGGTTTGTATAGTTTTGAATGTTAATTCATGTCTTGTTTCCCTTATCTCCCCTCTATTTTGGTTATTGAATTGTAGTTGTGCGTTTGGAACAAGTTGGTTGCTTGTTTTTCCAAACCTTTGTTGTCCAGATTTTTGCTCCTCCGCTCGAGGGGCACTTCTCGTACTCGAGCAGGCTTTGCGAACTCTCAGTACGTTGTAAGTCTGTAAAACTAGTGGGAGGGTGTTTTCTATGCCCGAGCGGCGTTTCCTACGCTCGAGCGGCCTTTTCTGCGCTCGAGCGTTGGGTTGTTGTCTGCAAAACTTCTGGATGTGTGTTTTCTACGCTCGAGTGGCAAATTCTTGCGCTCGAGTGGTAAGCGTTCATTGTGTCTTGGCGCTCGAGCGGCCTTTCTTGCGCTCGAGTAGAACAACTTATTATGCTTGACACTCAAGTGTCAAATCTCCGGTGTGCCGGGCCTATGCATATATCAGATCGCGAAAATGACTTTTTACATCACGTTTTCATATCTTTTCTCCCTAAAACCTAAAGTTGAAACCCTCTCTCTCTAAAACTCTCTCTATATTTTCACCTAGTTTTAATGATTTCTTCACTCTAATCCCTTTGATAAAAAGGTAGACCATCTCAAGATCTCCATTTTGATCGGAATAGAGTTGGATTTGGGCATCTTTGAAGTTTCACTTTTGCTTGGCTCGTCTTCTCTCTTTGAGGTAGGGATTCTCTACACTTTTATATGGTTTTTAGCTTAGTTATTTGTCGTTGTGTAAAAATGGTGAGATTTGGGGAGTAATTTGAACAAACCTAGGGTTTGGGTGTGAAATAAAAAAAGAGAGTTTTTAGTGAATGTGAAATAAATGGTTTGGGGGTTTGAATATGAGGTTACTTTGGGTTAAAATGGTGAAATTTAGCCTTGGGATTGATATTTGGAAAAAGGAAAAAATTTGCCCTAATATGAGTTGAATAATTATTTTGTATAAATAATGAAATTGATATGGAAAATGTGAAATTGGGAGGATGTATGAATGAATGGTGTAGTTGGATTTGTTTAATCACTCACCTATGGGAATTTGATAAGTTATCTGTTATAGAGATTATATATCTGTTTTGAAATATCTGTATTGGGCTATCGATGGAGGATAGCTATGATTGTTGTAGAAATTGCATGAGGATTAGGTGAATTGAAACTAATCATTTAACTATGTCATTGAATATGACGGTGTGTTGAGACATTGAATATGTGTAATTGAATGTCATTGAATATGACGGTGTCTTGAAATACATTGTATATGTATGTTTGTTTGGGAGGAGAAAGGGGATGTACTCCATGTTTTGGAAGGAGATAGGGGATGGACTCCATTGAAAATTAAGTTGGTCGGAGTGTCCAGGGTGAAAGTCCCGAAATCTTATGTATACATGGGTGCCGATCCCGCGGATGAAATTTCCAAAAAATGGCAAGATTGAAGTGTTTATATGATTGTTATGTTGATTGAAAACCATTGAGTTGTAGTCTCAGTTGGGTCATTTGGAAAATTATACACTTGGCATATAAATTGAAGTGAAACGAATTGACTTGAAATGAATCAACAGAAATGGATTGTGATAAGAGTATCAATACTGAATGTTCATGAGAAGGATGTACGTTGGTCTTAAATATTGAATGTGTACTTGGCACTTATGTCTTAGTTAAATCTCATATATTGTGTTAGATTGTTTCTACTGAGCTTTAGCTCACCCTACTTGGGAAAACATTTTCAGGTACAGGTGATATACTTCCTCCAAGGACGTAGTTTAAGAGGTCTTAGAAGCTGGACGCCCTATTTTATTGTTTTGTGTTTAAATGTTGATTCAAGCCTAGGGCTTTATATGTACAAGAGCTTATGACTCTCTTTTGTTGTAACCAAGCAATGTCTTGGAAAGTTGTATGTGATGATCGGTTTTACCTTACGTCTCTTCATTTTCATCTTTATCGGGATTGTTGTGTCCGGAAGTCCTTCTATAATTCTCATACTTGTTTATTTTGAGTTAGCCTTTCTTCTGTTCTGGAGAATTCTCTTGATTGGGTTCTTGTTTTAGCTTTGTTCGGGGTTGAATTTCACCAGGTTTGAAGGACGCTCAGTTGGGTTCGGAGTACCCGGGAATTGAACCAGGAAATTCAGTGCTGCTGGACCAGGGCCGCACGTGCGGGGCCCTAGGCCGCACGTACGGGATGGGGGCAGCACGTGCGGGAGGCCAAGCCGCACGTGCAGGAAGAGGGGATTTCAGTGAGTTGCATTCTACTTAAAAGGCACGAGCAGGGTGAGGTGAGGGAGAGGCGTACCACACATGCGGAGATGAGGGCCGCACGTGCGGGGGAGGCACTCCGCAGTGTGGAGAGGTGCGCCGCACGTCAGGCAGACGGGCCAGTCCGAGCCTCTGTTTTTTATTCCTCTTTTTGGCCGAATTATATCTCATTTTTGGGTTTTTCTCTCACACTCTAAACCCTATTTTCTCCTCTTTCTCTATAGAAACTCTCACCAAAACACTAAAACTCCTTGATTTTGTCATCCCTTGGAGCAAGATTCACCATCATCATCACCTCTCCCTCTCAAGCTTTGGAGATCAAAAACTAGGGCTCCCTTGTTGTAGTGGGAATTAAAGAGTTTTCCATCTTGAAGTTAGGGTTCCATCTCCATTCTTCATCAAACATTGAGGCAGGGATTTCTTGAGTCATATATACATGTTTTGCTACATGAATGTTGATTTTAAAGTTTCCATGAGGTTGTTGTGTTGATTTTAATGTTGCACTAAATGAAGAGAGAGAGAGAGAAAGAGAGAGAGGGAGTTTTGAATGATGGGTTTAAATTTCAACTTTTTCTTATCCATGAGGATGTCCCTTCTATTAGACTTAAGATGGATGATTTTGGTAGGATTTATTAAGAAAATGAGAAAAGATTTGTCTTGGGTGAAGAACCCTAGAATTTGGGGTTTTCGGGGAAACATGAAAATACACATGAACTTATTTCATTTCTTGCATCAAGAGAATAAATAAGAGTAGATTTCATCAAATGTTTAGCAAAAATGGCAACATACTTGATATATTGGAAATGAGGTGTTATTTTACATTATTGTTAAACCCTTGAAAATGTATTGTTGCAAATTGGCACATGGTTGTGCATCTTGGATAGTGAAAATTGTGAACATTGTAGTCAATGTATGAAAAACATCATATGTAGCCTTGAAGAGGCTAGCTTATTATGATTTGGGCATGATGAGAGTTGTTATTGCTATATATGTTGATGACATGATTATTTTGTGTAACAGTATTGAAAAGAAGAAATGGGAAACATGGTAAATTGATATTGTTATAGAAATAATTGGGATTGGAGTAACACTATGAGGTATGGGAAACATCATTGCATTACATACACATCTCAAATTAATTATTATCATACATTTTGAGTTTAGATTGAAGAATATTTACTCCATGAAAGAAAGAGGTGTTGTAATGTGAACTATGGAAATGTGGTATGGGGTAAATATGTGGTAAATCCAGATAGGGGGTGTAGTTAAACTTGATAAGTTGGGCTGAGTGTCCATGGTGAAAGACCAGAAAACCACGCGGATAGGTGTCGAGCCTTCCGGTTAATACCGGTAAAAATAACAATTAGGTAGTACTTGTAGAGTCTACTTGCAGACACCAGTCTAGGGATTACCAGTGTCGTATTTACCGCCTCTGTTGATTAAAATTGAAAGTTTTGAAATGTGTTGAGGTTGCAAGCTTTTATTGAAAAATGGAAATCTTTGAGAAGAGCATGAAATGAATTTTTCTTTAAAAAGGGCATTGTATGGTATTGGCATTTGCATTTACAATTGAGAATTGCATAACTGTATATACTTTGTGAGAATTCTCTATTGGGCTTTTTGCTCACTCCTATGGGACTTTGGTGCAGGTAAAGATGTGGTGATCCCGCCGAACCGAGGGCGTGGATATTTTTGTGAAAAGTAAATAGCTCTCTTATTTTTGTTTTGAATTTTCTAAAGCCAAGGGCTAAACGTGTATAGGTCCGAGAGACCTGTCACGACCCCAAACCGCCCCTAGTAGTTTAGTGCCGTAATGGCCAGTAACCCGAAATTACCGAAGGCCAACTTTCAAAATTCACACACAAACAGAGTATAAATATATATGGGGCTCACAAGTGCGGAAGCAATAATTTTAAAGTACAAGTGGTCCATAAGAGCAGTGCGTAAGTTACATGGAATGGCATACAACTTTACATAATATTACAACTTGAATACAAATACAAAATACATTTTACATCTTGATCAAAAGGCTTCTCCAGCCGACATGTGTAAATTACAGACATTATAAGCCGAGAAGCATAGTTTTCAAGACTGCCGACATGAATACAAGATAATGCCTATTTTATGATCATGTAAACATATCTTCAAAGACCGTCATCTTGTTCTTATAATATTTTCCCTTCTCTTCTTTATGTATTATTTTGATCTCCTATCTCTCTCTCTCTCTCTCTCTCTCTCTCTCTCTGTGTCTGTGTGTGTTTGTTTTTTTTTAAAAAAATAATTGCAGAACATGATAATGCGGCATGTGAATCACTCTGCTAGTGATCTGATTGATCTCTTGCAAGGGCTTCTGTGATATGACCGAGCAGAGCAGCTCAAAGCAAAGGAAGCTCTTAGACATCCCTACCTGAGAAGGTGTGACTTTGCAAATGAACACACGACGTTTTGGTTATGTTCTTATTGTATTGTTTTACTTTTTGAACCTAAATTATTATAGTGAGTGGCCAAGAATCTACAGTTCATGAAATGCAAAATTTAGGGGAGTAGTACTTCAATTTTTCTATATATATATATATATATATTTTAATTTTTATCTGTTAGATTGGATATATGCAGCAATTGTTGTGAAAATTATAGTGTTGTTTTTCTTATAAATCAGTGGTGATATGTGGCCTTGACTAGTTGTAATTTCATTACATTGGTTCTTATCTATTTCAATTAGGTGACTGGTTGGGTGGTTGAATACCAAGATAATCTGGTAAGCCGTGGTGTTGATGAGTCCTTAGCTCAAGTTTGTTCCAAGAGTGGTGCAATGGATCCCCTTATGAATGCATATGTTGAAAGAATGCAAGCTACAACAAGGGTAATCATAATTTTTTTGATAGCTTTATTGGTTTGTTACTTGGTATATAACATTGCTCAAATCACATGTCTTTCCTGTGCCATTTGCTGTCACTATTTTCTAGAAATGGTACTTGAATATCCTTGAGGCTGAAAAGGTACAACCACCAAAGAAAACAGATGATGGGAGGCTATATACACCTGCTGCTGTTGATTTGTTTAGAATCCTTGGCAAGCAAGTGCAAATTGCTCATGAAAATAACATCGATATCATGTTGTACAGAATTGCTTTGTCCATTAATCAGGTAAGTTTAGCTTTACAAGTTTTACTTAAATTATATATCTTATTCAATTCTTGACATTCTTTTTTCTTTTTCTTTGGTACAGAGGGATGAATTCGTGCATGAAGCTAAATAGTACAGGACTAATTGGCGCTATAAGTATTTTTGAAAGTATTATATATTTTTGGATAGATGTGTATGGAAAATATTTTGATAGACTAATAGTTATGTTTTTGGATGGGTGTATATGGAAAATATTTGGGTAAACTAGTTATATTTTTTTTATAGATGCACATGGATAAAAATTTAAATTGTAAGAATATGTACTTTGGAATTACTTGTGTATGTAAACTTATAATAGTAGTTAACTTTTATTAAACAAGTTTAGGATTGGATGATTTATGTATTTCGTTGAACGTTCATGATTTAGATACTTTGTTGGTATGAATAATTCTTTTTAATTACAGATCATATTGAATGAATTGGATGGAATATTTGTCTTCAATTGCAGGTTTATTTTGTTGGATGTTGGCGACCAAATTGTGGTTTTGCCAACCATAATGTTGATAGGCAAAATGGTACATTTGGCGACTAAATAATTAGTCGGTAAATTTTTGACAACCAAAGAGTTTGGTCGTGAATAGGTCTATTGCCGACTAAACTTTTAGTCGTGCAAACATTACTTTTGGCGACTAATATGTTTGGTCATGGAATGTGACTTTTGCCGATTAATCTATTGGTTGTGAATTGTGACTTTTGGCGACTAACATGTTTGGTCGTAGAATGTCACAATTGGTGACTAACATGTTTGGTCGTGAAATGTGACAATTAGCGACTAACATGTTTGGTTGGGAATCTGTTACTTTTCGCGACTAAAGTGTTTTAGCGACTAAATGAATTAGTTGCAGTAACGATATATTTAGCGACCAAAAATTTAGTCGGCAAATCTAACTTTTGCCTGACTAATAAAAGTTTTGGTTGCTAATTACTTTTGCCGACCCTCAATTGGCGACGGAAAAAATTGGTCACGAATAACTTTTGTCGACTAAAAATAGATTTTTGCCGACCAAATTTTTAGTCGGCAAAAGTGCAATTGGCGACCAAAATTTTTTGGTCGTGGAATGTGATAATTGGCGACCAAACTTTTTGGTCGTTGAATGTCACAATTGGCGACTGAGATATTTGGTCGGAAAAATATCACTTTTCGCGACCAAAGTGTTTTAGCGATAAAATGGATTTGTTGCAGTAATGACATATTTAGCGACCAAAAATTTAGTCAGCAAATTCAACTTTTTCCGACCAACCAAAATTTTGGTCGCGAATTACTTTTGCCGACCCTCAATTGGCAACCAAAGTAGCGACCAAAAAATATGGTCGCGAATAACTTTTGCTGACTAAAAATGGACTTTTAGCGACTAATTTTTTGGTCGGCAAAAGTGTTATTTCTTGTAGTGTATGTTGCTTTGTTGCAGAGTGTATTCTTAGAAATATCCTTCAACTCCTTACATCTCATGTGTTTTTAATTTTAATTTTTATTTTTTGGGGCTGGTTTCCTTTCATGATTACATACAAATTCATGAAAATCAGATTTTTCTACTTGTCTTATTTATTTATTTATTTATTTTAAGTTTAGTTGATGAAGTCTTCCATGTTAGTAGGAATGGCTATGCAGGGTCGGCAGTCAAGAGTGGCGACAAAGGCAGTTGCCTCTGCGCTTAGGAGTGGATATTGTGTTGAGTTAATTGGATTTGTGTGAGATTTATCTCAACATTAATTTAATTTTTTTATTTTTCATGTTATCATTTTCGATTCGATACCTTATTATTATAATAATTTTTTTATAGATATTAAAATTTTACAGCATAAAGGACATAAAATATTTTCATAGTAATTAGAGTCCCTCAAATTTTTATAGAGAAATTTTGAAGCAAAGAAATTTTGGTCTAAAGAAATTTCAAAACACAGAAATTTTTTTCTGTGTTTTGAAATTTCTCTGGTTTGAAATTTTTCTGATTTGTTGAATTTCTCTGTGTTTTCAAATTTTCTCTGTATTTTTAAATTTCTCTAGTTTGAAATTTCTTTGGCATGCTCACAAATTTCTGTGTTTTGACCAATTTTCTCTAAGTTGCTCACAATTTTCTCTATATTTTGAACAAATCAGAGAAAATTGAGCTACTCACAAATCAATTTTCTCTAACATCAATCAAGGCATTAATGACAAAGAAATTACAGAGAAATTCATCTCAACAAAACTACTAGCTTCAACAAGATCAAACGAGCACATAAAGTAAAAATCCAATGCATTCATAGAAAATTGTGATGCCAGAGAAAATTCATCTCAAGGAAAAAATTACATCCAAGGAGACAACTAACCAACATAATTTGATGGGTCAGGGAAAATTCTGATGGCGGAGAAAATCAATCAAGGCACATAAGTTAATGTGATTATAATTGTGGTCAGAAAAAATTCAAATTCTAGAGAAAATTTATCACATGAAAAAAACTAATCAGTGAAAATTAAACACGTAATATAAATTGAAATGCCAGAGAAAATTCATCTCAACCAAACTACTAACAAAGAAATTCAAGAGAACTTCATCTCAACCAAACTACTAGCTTCAATAAGATCAAGTAAGCACATAAAGTAAAGTAAATTTAATGTCAGCAGAAAAAATTCAGATGGAGAAGAAAATTTTTACAGATGAAGTCAATTCCCAAAGAAACCTTCCTCTTGAATTATGGAGAAGCTTAAGGCATTTTGGATTTTCCACAATCCTCTTCAGTCCTATTTGTTTTGCTTTCCACAATCCTCTACAGTTCGTAAGGGCCTGTTTCGGCATTCTGAATTTCAGCTGTTGAAAATTAGTCCTTTCGATTCTCATTTTCTTCCAGCGACATACCCACTCTGTTTTAGTGGAAAGAATGAGCTTTGATTCAACGTAAGTTTCTCTCTTCGTATACATACACTATATATATATACCATCGTCACACTCTCTATAGAATGTCAATCATAAATCCCTGTTATTTATGATTGAAATTTTTGTATTTGAAAAGCTCACTGTGATTCTTTCTTTCTCGTTTTCTCACCGACGAAGCTGCCATGGCTTTGAAGATAAAAGGGACCCAAGTGGAAAGCTGCAATCAGCTTTTGTTATCATATTGAAGCCAATAAGTTTTATTTTATTTCCAATATTACTGTTGAATCCTATCACATTTTGATATGGATAATTAAATTCTGGGATATTCTATTTACATTCAAAAAAATTATTAAGTATGTCCAATTAAATTTTGTAATTTTAATTCTTATTGTACCCTGATGTAAATTTATTAATAAAGAAAACACATATTAAACTCTAAAATAAAATATTATTTTTCTCCCATGGTACACCCTAATTACATATATAGATTCTTCATCTTGTTTTCTCTTCTTTTTCTCCCTCACTCCAAAACACTCCAAACAATCCTACCAAAACTCACCATTATTATCAATATCATTGTTTTTTATTTTTATGAATAGAAATTTTTTGAGCAAAATCAAATAATGGACGACATAATTGAACAAAATGAAATAATATTATGGCAAATTTGTATATTTCTCAATGGATGAGATAATTGATTAATCACATACTTACGTTTTTGTTTATGAAAATTCATTTAATTTCAACAATTAAAAATATTTTTTTATTAAATTTTTTTAATAAATTAAAATTATTAATGAAGTTTTTAGTTTATATTTTAATCAGAAAGATAAAATTAAAATAAAATATACTATCATGAATAATTGAACTTTTTTTACAACAATTTATAAAATGAAAAAGAAAATAGGAATTATTTATTAATATTGAAATTTGATATAACAGAATAGTAATTTTCAAAACACAATAATAAACCTTATTTGTAATTTTCTCACTGTGGTTTATGATTTTTAATATAATAACATAATTTTACTTAGATCAAAAGTATACCGTGCTATGCACTTCTTTTCTTCCATTATTTCTTGTGAGTACTACCAAGTCCAAGTCAATGCATATGAATTCCAAATCATGACTGTACGAGCACGAAATAATGTTCTCGTATAATCCTGTTGATCAAGTTTGCGCTCCTCCAAACGTCATCGCTTTATTTCCTGAAAACACAAACGTGAGCTAGCCGGCGGGTGTGTGCCGGATACCTCTCCGATGCCTAAGTCAGCAAAATAGACAAATAGACAAAAACTCTGTGTATTCCGAAAATCAAAGTTGTGTTACCTCTACATAGGTTATGTTGTGAGCTTTTATAGTTTTTGCCTGGTACAATCCTAGTTGGACTCTTATTCCTCTGTGTAGAGTCCTCCTAGGAATCACACTTCTGAAAGATAATGTTTATCCTTTAACACCCCCCTCACTGCTTAAATCAAGTGAGATGGTTTTACCTTGGTTGGATGACAATATGACCGAGCTAACACTAGCCCTTTGGCATACTTAATCCAGCGCCTTCACATGCAACACATAGCTCGGCTCTTTGTTCACTTGTACCTCGGTTTTGTCTATTGAGACCGAGCTAACTACAGCAAGCTTTGACCGAGCTAACAAGAGCAAGGTCCACCATAAGAAGCCCAAATACCTCGGTTCTGAATACTATGACCGAGCTAATTATCACCACTCCGACCGTGGTGACTGTAACCATATTTGGACCGAGCTACCACTAAGGTCCACTTGCTAAGCCCTTTCCACCATGGCCTATAGAACGGCCTATTACTACGCCTGGGCCTAGCTCGGCCCTAATGCTCATAAAAACTCCCTCTTAATTGCCCATTAATTCCATCTGCATAGCATGATTGGGATTACCTTTTTACCAGCCGAGCTAAAAGTTGGCCTTCAACCGAGCTAAATTGATACCGGGCTACTAATTTGTCCGGTCAAAAAAAGTCTTTTCAGTCGCTGCATAACTGAATTGCTTACGATTCTCTTGGACACGTGGCAAGCCCTTATCGGTCAAATACAGCTGCCATCGCCGCCTT